GTTCTCTAATGACCACAGTAAAATGAACTCTACTGTCATTAAGCAGGAACGTCAAGGAGGACAACGGGGTTCAAAAGGACCAATGAGACTTCCTCTACTCCTCTACAGTTTTTATTCAGCTTGAATAGATGAGCTTGAATAGAGGAACTGTCCGGAATAAGTGGCCTTCTTTTGTCCTACTGCGAAAATGGGCTGTCACGGAAGCGGTTCAAAGCATCGTTGAAAGTTAAGAAATTTCTGAAATTGAAAAGTGTAGCGCCAGTATGGGAAAATTGGTTCTCAACTGAGGTCCTTACAACTTAAATCACGTGCTTATGACTTCGTCAAAGAACGTCATCCACCGTATAAGCCTGTTTTACCGTCTAGCGGGAAAACATCACAGGGATTCCTTCATCGGTCGCCTTGCACTAGTAGAATAATAGTGAGTAGGTCGCCTGCAATAAACCATTCTTCCTTCTATAAAAGGAATCGCTCTCTAAACATTCACATATTTATATATTTTCAGTGTTATTTTAATAACTTACTTATTGAGGTGATCTTCTAGTCGGAATGCGAGTTGGGATGACGTTCTATTGGTTTGTGTGTCCGCACAATGGGCCTTCACACTGAGGTGGGCGTGATGATCGAGATGATAGAAAAACCTATCCCTAGTGAAAAAATGAAATGAGCCGGCAGACGATTTCGCACATTTATCATGTCGCTACGATAATCGTGGTTGCATACTTCAGCCATGGCGCTCTTAACTTTTACCCGACGATTTTTAACTGATTTTCAGGGGCATGTCATACCTTTCCCGTATTTTCTGCAAGAGGTGAGAATGAATAATTTTGAACGTAACCATAATCTGGCTGGTAAATTACTGCCACTATCCAAAATATCAGTGGCTCAAAAACAGAGCCCACGATCACTTATAACTATCATAGCTCTTCGCAGGGCGAGGAAGAGGGGTATAAATACCTGCCAGAAAGTACATAGTAAGGTAACGGCGGTAAGGCACAACGTTGTTCGAGTGACCCTGCTCGCACTGATAGATGTCTTATCTGTGGGCTTGCTGGTTTGCCTCTCGCCGAATACTTACACGTTGCTTTCCACTCGCTTGGCACAAGTAGGGCCTTATTTGGAGCGTTTGCGACGGCTTTCTCTCCTTTTACCCGTACGACGATGAGAACTCGCACACACACACACACTTCTG